GCCAATCAAGCAGGCAGTCAGAGAAGTTAGGGGTGATTCAGGCAGGCAGGAAAAGGAGTTTGGGCAATCAGGCAGGCAGGTAAGCAGTTAGGAGCCAGCAGTCCTAGATTGTGAGAGATATGTCCCACTGTCAGTTTAGGCCTGATCCCTGTGGAATTGGGCCTAAACTGGCAGTTGGACATCTTCCAAGGGGTCCCTGAGAGGGTGCAGGCTGGGCTGAGGGAACATCCATCCCCCCCCCCCCCCCCGTGCACGAATTTCATGCACCGGGGCACTAGTAGGTTAAATAATGGGAATTAATAAAGTGAAAATAATATTAAAACATTAAACAATATTTTCATCATGCCATTCTATTTTTTGGAAAGAAATTGTGAAATGTGTATATATCTCCTCTGCCAAGTCCACATTGTTGGTAAATCATACATCTCACCGTAATTTTGATAGCCATCCTCCAAGATGGCTTTCAGTTATTCTCTCCAGTTAGCATTCCCAGCATGAATAGTCCCCTCCCACACTGTATCTGGGTTGGTCTGTATGACCAATAGCACATGACAGAGATGATGATACATCATTTTCAAGAGTAGGTTATAAAAGACAGTGAGGATATTCTATCTTACTTCCAAGAGGTGTGTTGGTGAGCTTAGAAGTGGGTCCTTCAGATGACTGTATCCCCAACCTATCACTGGACTATACTCTCATGAGAGACCCTGAACCAGAACCACCAACCAAACCATCACCAGACTCCTCCTCGGAAACTCTCTGAGATAATGCTTGTTGTATTAAGCTGCTAAGTTTTGAGGTGCCCTGTTACACAGCAATGGATAGCTAATAAAACAAAGATTCTAAATCTAAAAGAAACTAAGATAGTTTAGTCACTAAAATAAAATAAAAATACATTAAAAAAAGGAAATTAAACTAGAAAAAAATATGACCCCTCCATTCCCAATCAGGTTGTAAATGACTCCTGCTTTAACAATCTTGTAAAGGTGTCTTTTTAAATAGGTCAACTTTTTATTTATAAAGAAAATAAAAAAACCTAATGAGAAGACTGGATACTTATTAGCCTTTCAGTAGCAAGTAAAGATCACAGCAACAATGTTTTGAATTTAAAAAGAAAAGAAAAGAAAAGAAAAAGACAAATTCTTGGTTAAGATCATTGTAAATACACTGACAAGGATTTCAGTAAATTCTTAGTTAAGGTCATTGTAAATACACTGAGAGTAGTAAATAGCTTTCATAGAAACATTTTATAATAGAACTTATTGTTTTATACATTATTTCTGGGGAAGGAATATCCCAGCTTTTTAGTCCTGAACATTCTTTATGTGTATTGACATTACCTTTCTGATTGCATAGGCAGAAAAGTTCTAAGTTTTGAATCATCCCCTAGTCCAGTGGTCGGCAAATCACATGGAACTCTTTGGCCCCTTGAGTGTGGCTCTTCCACAAAGTAGCACGTACCCTAATTAAGTTAATAATAATGAACCTACCTATAGAGTTTAAGTTTAAAAAATTTGGCTCTTAAAAGAAATGTCAATCATTGTACTGTTGATATTTGGCTCTGTTGACTAATGAGTTTGCCGACCACTGCCCTAGCCAATCAATCGAAATATCATCCAGGGGCAGCCCCACCGTGGAAAAGGAGGAGAGTGGCTAAGATGAAACGGAAGAAGTTCAGATGGGCTAGATTCCCTGCTTTGTGAGCTCTGGTAGGGAAGCTAGATTATACCTGAAATTTATTGCTAAAATAGTACAAGCCAGTATTCATTAAATGGATGCACACCTGGAGGAATAAGGGGTCTTCAGTCCAAAACATAGTATAGGAGGAGAACACCAAAATGGTAAAGGCACACAACAGCAGAGCAAGTTAGGATATTGCCGGCAATTTGGTGTGGCGAGTAGAGTATTGAAATTTAGGGGGAGAGTATTAAAGCCTTATCAGGAGAAGCCATGAGCCTGTTTTTAGTTCAAATGGATTACTTCTCTGCTGAAGGGAGAAAAGATTGGATAGGGGCAAGACTAAAACGGGACAGACCAGTAACAGCATAACTCCAGCTGCCCAAGTGAGGAGGGCTGAGCTTGCCCTAGATTCTGGCTGTGGATATGGGGATGGGCAGGCAGCTCTGAGCTCTATTTGCAAAGTAGGAACAACAGGACCTCCGAATGGAGCAGAGCTGCTATGCTGTGAAAGCCGCCGATTCTCAAGTGAGGATAATGCAAAGCAGTGATAAAAAAATAGAATCAGCACTTTTTCAAAGGGGCAAAATAGAACATTTGAGAAAAAAAAAATTCGCAACCAGTATCTTCTTGTGGTTTTTCAAATCTCTGCAGTGTTTAGGCACAGTGTTTGTTTCTAGTGTGGAAAACATAGAGAAGGAATGAATAAACATTCCGATGGAGGTAAGTCATTTTTCCAACCTGCCTGTACTGATGAGATAGTTTAATGAACACCGAAGTGAAAATATGTTACACTCACATTGACATCAGGAGTCAAGGGCCAATGTATGGCTAACAACAGCCTCCTCCCCTGCCCCCACACACATAGGTTCAGAGCCAGAACGTATAACTTTGATTCTCTCTGATAATCCATTGATTTCACATCCCAAATTATAAAGCTGTTGGATTGACACACATAGTTTTTTCTGAGAATGATGTACCACTACCACTCTGGTTTGAAACACAAAATTCTTCCTGGGCTTGTCTGACCACTCCTTTCGCAATTCTGCCAAATGCACCATGTGCACAACCGCACCAAATTACTGGCAATACCCTAACTTGCCCTGCTGTTGTGTGCCTTTACCATTTTGGTGCTCTCCTCCTATACTATCTTTTGGACTGAAGACCCCTTGTTCCTCCAGGTGTGCATCCATTTAATGAATACTGGCTTGTACTATTTTAGCAACTAAAATATGATGATACTGTGGTGCTCTGTAGGGTATACACAGTCCCCACTAAAGAAAGTAGGCATTTCTGACAACAGTCATCTGGGCAACAGTCTGGTCTTTGAAAAGATGAACCCAGAAGGCAACACAGAGGGTAGGACCTCTGGGTTGCCTTTGAGTTCTCTGACTAGAGTATGGACTTGAGCAATAGAGGGATACTTGAGGGTGTCCCCTTGAATTGGGGGTACTTATGATGGCCTCTGTTAAAACAAAGCCATGAGGGGTCCACAAGATGTCCACTTAAGGAACTTCCAAATAATGATTGTTACTTATATCTTGTAAGTCCCATCATTTAGCTAAGTGTTCCGACTTGATGTTTATTTTCCTTTTATTATAGCTTGTTATTGAATACTAGAGGCCCAGTGCACAAATTCATGCATGGGTGGGGTTCTGCGGGCATGGCCCCAATAGGTGGATTGGGGTTGGGCCTGTTTGGAGGAGGAGACGGCAGAAGGTTAGCCGCCAGGCCTGCCCTGATCTAGCCAATCAGGCCTTGGCTGGCTAGGGGGAGGGGCCATGGATGATTGGCTGGCGGGCCCGCCCCCGATTGAGAGGGAGGGGATGATTAGGGATGGGACTGGCCATGGGGAGGAGCTGTGGGCCAATTAGAGTGGTGAGGGCATATACCCAGTGGGTTGGGCTGGCCAGGGGGAGGGGCTACAGGCCTTTTGTGGTGAGATGGGCTGATCAGGGGCAGTCTGGCCAGGGGGAGGGGCCGTAGGAGGTTGACCTGTCGGCCCCACCCCTGACCAGGCCAGTTTCCTGGCCACAGTGGGCATCATAGCCACTGGTCATCGGTCGTTCCAATTGTTCCGGATGCTGGCTTTTTATATATATAGATTTCGGATTGTGCTTGATAGCATGAAGGACTTTAAGAGAGACTACTTTTCAAAATAAATGTATTGTAGTTTACCCATCATGGTACTGCTCAGCTCATGGCATTTGAGGCATGCTTCCCTTCAGTTGCGATTATCTTCAGAGGTAACTAACACACATGTAAAAATTCCATTTCATTATCTTATAGTCACACCTCATTTTTGCCCAACATAGCAATTCCCTGTTTAATTACCCACTTTCGTTGGAAGTGCCTCTGAATGCTTTTGAAATTAAATGTATATAACATAGTTGAAGATTTGCCACTTAATGGATTATTCTGGTCAAGATATACCAGTAACTATGAAAAAAAAGAGTTTAAAAAATTCATTGTTGTGAGATTTTTTTGCATAGCCTCCTAAAATACCTATTTTGAAGATGCCATCATTAATTTGTACATGTCAGACCTACTGTTTGTTACAAAACCAGTCCTACTATTAATACTTTAGTCATCTCTTATATGAATGTCTTCCCTTCCCTTGCCTTTTGAAAATTAGTTTTTTGAGGACAGGAACTTGATTTTCTTCACATTTTGCTATTTCCAAAGTGTCTTGATTGGTAGTAATGCATATCAAAGTAACTGGAATGTGGATTGGAGTATCTATGACTTGATAACTTACCTCAGAAGGAAAAACATAAAAGAATGAACAGAGTCAAAGACCAACTGGGGCTATTAAAGTCCTAGAAAGAATAGCAGTTGGGAACTCCAAGATCAAACAGTAGGTGTTTATTAATTGTCGATATACACCATCCAGCTTATTTTTCAAATCATTTTCACAACTTTTTAT